ACCGCAGACCGTCTGAGCGCTTCGCTGGACGACCATACGAGCGCCCTCCACCCATCATGGTGGACAGCCATGAGGAGTTCCTCGTTTCAGAGATAATTGGTCGCCGAGTCACCGACGACAACCCTCCCCACGTTGCATATCTCGTATGTTGGAAGGGTTACCCTGATGAGGAGGCTACCTGGGAGCCCCTCGAGCACTTGCAGCACACTCGCATGTTGGTGCGTGCTTATGACCGTGCTCGTCGTGCTGGGTTCACTGCTCCTCCTCAGCCCACTAGCCCTCCTCCTTCTCCCCCGACTGAGGAGACCGCTGAAGTCAAGCCTGCTCCATCTGAGGCAGACCTTCAGCAGCAGCCGGATGCTTCTGAGCGTCCACAGCGCACTCGTCGTCGTCCTGCTCGATACGCCGATTGACTCTGACTTACCTTCCCACATCTTGGACTTCTTAGTACTCCATCCACATCAGTTTTGCTACTCCAGCTCGTCGACATTGCGGCTCTTCCTTGATGGCATTCCGGACTTCTCATCGTAGACATCATCGGCAGCTTCATGGACTTCGTCACGATCAGCTCTGCCTACTTCAGACGTCATCACTCCCTTACCACTTTACCCTGTACAGTACTCTTGTTTTGTCACATGATGGTCTCCCTTTAGCCGGGTTCCTCTGAGTTGGGTTCTCCCTTGGTATACGCATAGTCATCGGGATCTTAGCATTGCCCTGGCTTCCCATCTTACAGATCTAGCACCGACTTCCCTCACTTAGGATTCATTTGCATGATTCCCTTACCCATCACCTTTCTACCCTCTGTCGGCCCTCACGCCCTAGTTAGGCAACCCCGCATGCTTCATCTAGGTGCGCCCAGTAAACCAGACTCCCTTGTTCCCTTGCATTGTCGACCCTCCATAGCGGTCATCCCTTAGTCGAGCATTACCCGCCCTGATGGTCTATCTGTTAGGGTCATTGGTTTTGTTCGCTCCCAGTTTCCTACCCTCATTGATCCTGATGACATGTGTCTCCCTATTATCTATATGCAGATGCCCTTAGGAGTTCTCGACCCCTAGGCTGCATTCGCCACCCTCAGAGACCACCCCACCCTTTGGTTTCCGACACACTCCTCCTGTGACATTTGGTTGACTTGTTGTTGCTTGTTGCTCTCAGACCGAGGCTACTGCCTCTGACATTTCTAGGATTAGCTTTTCTGCTTTTGTTGTTCTTAGGACTTATACACTAGTCAGTTGTTCCCAGACTGAGGCTACTGCCTCCAACACTCTAGGATCTAGTTGTCACTACTTTCTGCTTTCCTAGGACATGTATGCTAGTTAGTTGCTTCTGCTTTCCTAGGACATGTATGCTAGTTAGTTGCTTCTTCTTTTACTCAGGCTGTTAGTTGTGACATTGCTGTTTTGTGATGTTTTCTAGCCTAGGGTGCATCACATGGACTCAGCATGGAGCTTGCTCCGCATCCTAGACTACTCAGGTTTTCTTTCTTTGGTAGAGTTCCGCTCCTTGGCGGAAGCGTGCTTGTATCTAGGATATCCATCACAGGCCGAGGATCGTGTAGCGGACCTCTGGTGGGCCTGTGAGACCAGCCCCTTGGCCTGTTCTCACAGGCCTGTGTTTTATTCGGGGCAGTCCAGTCTAGGCTGGTACCTCTGTCGGTACCAGCCAGTCCAGTCCAGTCCAGTCCCGTCAGTCCGCTGGGGTATACCCCAACAATTGTCTGTTTTCGAGATCATTCTACACTTGCACGATTTTGGAGTCTGTGCGTTGAAGTCTTGCGTGGGAGCTGCGTTGTACATCTTGCTCCCCCCTTCTTCCTCCATCTCCATCTTTATCACTAGCGGAGCACCACACCTGGTGAGTCCGCTACAAAAGTAATGGTTGAACTCCTCTACTGATAACCACAGATAACTCTCCTTGCTTCCTCAACTGAACCCACGGTTGACAGGGTGTTGTGCAGTTCTCCGTTTGTTCCAAAGATGTAGAGAATGTACTCAAGGGTTGTCTGATCTCTCACTAATTTTAATACCTCCTTCATCATTGTCTTCATATGGAAGTGAAAGTCCTTGATGACTGTTCTTTCCCAACCCCGTGTTTTGTCCTGGTGCTGTGTGCAAGTCACTCGTACTGTATCACCATTCCCCATTTCTCTGCTGAGTCTCATTGCATTAGTCCTCGGACACAAGGATGAGAAGTTCGTTACTGTTTTGTTGACAGCTGGCGGGAATAACAAGAGATTTCCCTTGTGATTAGGACACTTGACATACACGACCGATGGGGGGAACCGACAACCGGTCTGATCCACATAGTGCTCCGACACGAGATACCATTTAAGAGTCCTTAATGGTCTGATCAGTCGATTCTCTTTTTCGTCAGGCCAGATAGGACAGGACTGATCAGGATATAATGATAGCACTCCGTTGGTTTACACTCTCTGCGACGATAGAGTACGTTCATGGAGTTTGATCCGTTCCCGTAATCTGTTATGATTGTGTCTGCTTTGGTGTGGTCCCACTAGCTCGAAACCATATCAATCAGCGGACGCCTTGATTGTTTTGTCTACCCTGCTTTAAGTAGTGCACCGTGAGCACGCCTGTCTCGCCTCTTAAATCTGATTGGGACTACTTTCGCATTCTGTTTGCAATGTCCCAAGTAACCCTTCTCGTCGTCTTATCTGTTTGACCCTCCTCCCTGCATCCAAATCCCTTACTTACGCATAGTGTCATTAGGTGCAGTTCTGGTTGAGATGTCTCATATGACCTTAAGATTGGTACGAACGGTTAGAGATTCTTAGTCTGTCCATCAAGTAGGTGCACTCACTTTATCAAGTTCCCTGGCATGGGCCGAGTACCTCTCTCAGCCGCGTTTTACGCACATCATGGTGAAGAGCGCATTATTCTCCTAGCAACCAAGTATCCAGCAATTGGTCAGATCCAGAGTCACTATCTTGACAAGAGCTTCGATATATTAGCCAAGTAAAGAGAAGGCGTGGAAAGGGCTAAACTCTGATTAGCTCAGCCTTGAGTAACTTGCCAGAAAGAGGCACAGGGTTCACATGTTCCCTAGCTACCTTCGTTCCTACAGCTTAGATCAGCAAGGGAGGGCGAGGCAGCAACTAGTCCCCGTCCAGAAGGTATTTGGCCAACAGATGGTGAACCCTTTTTAAAACCCGCTGTTTCTTTCCCATCAGACAATAGGCCTTACTATTCTTGCGGAACCCACCCTCTTATTCTTTCGCCAATCACCGACCAGCTGGTTAGAGCTCAGTCGGAGAGCACTGGTAACTCTGCACTCTTCGATAAGCTCACAAACTCTAGTCAATTAGAGTGTTTTCCATCTTTTCTTCGCAGGTGCTTGTTTGAGAGGGGTGTGTAGTCCTATTAATTATAGAAGTCAAAAACT